CCTTGTAGGTCATCTAGTCCAACCCCCCATCCAAACAGGAGACCCTATACCATTTCTGACAGATGGCAGTCCAATCTCTTCTTGAAAGCCTCCAGTGATGATGCTCCCACAACTTCCGAGGACAACTTCTGTTCCATGGGTTGATTATTCTCAGTGTCAGAGAATTTTTCTTTATTTCTAGGTTGAATCTCTCCTTGTTCAGTTTCCATCCATTATTCCTTGCCTGGCCTTCAGGTGCTTTGGAAAATAGCTTGACCCCCTCCTCTCTGTGGCAGCCCCTCAAATAGCAGCCCCACTGCTATCATGTCTCCCCTGGTCCTTCTCTTCACAAGACTAGCCATGCCCAGGTCCTGCAACCGTTCATCATATGTTTTAGCCTCCAATCCCCTAATTATCTTGGTTTGCTCTTCTCTGCATTCTTTCTAGAGTATCAACATCTTTTTTATACACAGGTGACCAAAACTGGATGCAGTATTCTAGGTGTGGCCTTATTAAGGCTTTATAGAGTGGTATTAGTACCTCACTCAATCCCTCTGCTGTATCCCTCTGTAAATGCAATTTAGGATTGCATTGGCATTTTTGGCTGCTTCTGCACACTGCTGGCTCATATTTAACTGATTGTCCACTAAGACTCAAAGATCCCTCTCACAGTTACTGCTATTTAAGCCTGGTTTCACCCAGTCTATATGTGTCCTTTTGGGTTTTCCTTCCTAAATGTGAGACTTTACTTTTCTCTACACTGAATTTCATTTTTGATTTGATGAATTGATTCAATGGTACCCAATCTTCTTTAGTATAGATGATACTAGTATAGATCAGTACTTCTTTACTCTGGCTGGCTTGCTGGAGAAATTTGGGAGTTGAAGTCCCCTCGTCTTAAAATTGCCAAGGTTGAGAAACACGGCTCTACATTCAGCGAATGGGGGGAAAATAGAAATTAGAAACAGGTATTTCTATCCATTTCAGCGATTGCCGGTTTAATATTGTTGTGGTGCAGGATATGCATTTTCTCTCTCACAGCTGCAGCAGGCTGCTGACTCATCATTTTGTCCTTAGATGACCCCACCAGTTTCTTGTCTGCTGTATGTGAGGCTGTGGGGAGGAGGAGAATAAGATGGAAACAAACGCGGAATGTCATTATGAAGAAGTCAAGCTTAAAGCTTCTGCATCCAGAGCGGTTGGAATTCGACTAGACGTTTGTCATTCCTGGGACTGGTGGGGTGTTTTTTTTCTGCAGTGCGCAAGAGTTGCATCGTCCCAGCTGGTGGTTTTGCTAGAAATATTGGAGAAAGGCTGAATTCTATAAGCTGTGGCTATGACACAACTGAGCATATGTATGTTTTCATATTTAGTCTACTTTTGGGCATTGTAAGTTACTATGATACCAGCATGAAAATGATGAATACCTGCTCTAAAATAATCTCCAGAACCCCTGCAAAAACTAGCTGTTTAGACCAGCTTGAAATAATAAATAGACTGCTTTAAATAATACAACGGGAGAAGATGCTCCTTGAGTTTTCTGGGTCAGCACTTATGCAAGAATTACAAAGCTGGAACTTATCCAATCAATGGTTGTCTGGTTTCTTCTAAAATATCCCAACTGAGGGAGGAGCTATGCACCATTTCTTTTGGTAATGATCCCATTGTTGAAAGTCTATGGAGATTCTCAGTCATCCAGGTCATGGTTGTCCCGAAGGTGCTTTTTCAGGAGGCAACTGGACTTTCTGGTTTTTTTCTTTGAATGAGATTGAAGGATGAACACCTTTCAAATGGTGTGGGAATAGGAATGGATTTCCAGAAAAATTGCATACTACAAGATCCATTTGCACTATTCAGGTGACCTTGAGGACACAGATAAACCTCCAAGTGCCTCAACAACTTTCTAAAAGGATGCAAATGACCAGCCGTCTGCAAGGAATATAAATCCTTCCATACCTCACTATCCTGTCAGAGCTGAAGAAGCTTCTCGGATGAGAAGCGAAATGTCTTCAAAGAAAAAACAAGAAAGTTCAGATGCCTCCTGAAAAAAGCACCTTTGGGATCCCATTGTTGAATTGCTGTGACTTGCATGAGGAGCCCACCCACTCCACCCCACCTGTTCAGGATTTGATCACTTCATTTTGCCAACGGTTAATTGAAATCAATCATCTGAGTAATCAGATAGTCCTTGTTCAATGACCACAGTTGGGATGATGTCACCATCCCAATTGTGATAAGTTACAAAGTGATAAGTCGTCGTTCATAAATCACAAGATACAATCATAAACATAAGATACAAACAACAATTGATAAATCTTACCAATAGGACAAGGTAGTAGGAAAGAATAGAGGTGAGAAAGATGAGAAGATGAGAAGGATAAGAAGGTGACAAGGATACCAGCAAGACAGCCTACTACATATGTTTAGGCATAAGACAGTGCTGTAGGAGTTAGGTGTTTAGCAGAGTGATAGCACAGGGAAAAACTATCTTTGTGTCTAGCTGTTTTGGTGTGCAATGCCCTATAGCAGCATCTTAGGAGGACAAATTGAAACTGTTTATGTCCAGGGTGTGAGGGGTCTGTAGATATTTTCTCAGCCCTCTTTCTGGCTCGTCAGTAGTCCTTAGTGGAAGGCAGGCTGGTTGCAATAGTTTTTTTCTGCAGTCCTAACTATCTGTTGAAGTCTGTACCCATCCTATTTGGTTACTGTGCCAATACAGTTATTAAGCAAGACATCATGTGACTGTGATAGACTTACAACCCCATTTCCGCCACAATTGTTAAGAAAAAGCTGTAGGGCCATATCTTTTTTTGAGAAGGCATCTCTTATTTCCTTTATGCCATCCAATGATCACACAGATTGCCATCAGCTTGATGGCCTTCATCTTATCAAAGTTTTGTCTGACACCCAAGAAGCATTTTGCATGATATCAGCTTTGTTATGATGCTGTTAGTGTGGATATTTGCGTAGCTGGTTGCACATATTAAACCAGGGGTGTGAAACTCCTGTCGTTACGGCATCATCACATGACGTATCGTGACTTTTTTTCCTTTTGCGAAACTGGCCATGGGCATGACCAGCACATGATGCATCTGGCCTGCGGGCCGTGAGTTTGACAGCCCTGTACTAAACAATTGCAGTTTGATGATCTATTTTTTAGCTCAACAGGTTCCACTTAAAACAGATGGTCTCTTGTGCCCAGAAGTTCAGCATGGAAGATTGAAGCAACTGAAGTGTTTATTAAAAATGGCTGCTTCTTATGAAAAAAGTTCCTATGCCAGAGAATTAAAGATACAACATGCTGTGCTTACCATCATTTTTGTCCCTAAGCAAAATACCAAGTTGTATTTTGAGAAATGTAAAAAATTGATAACGGGGGTTGTGGGGAAGGGAGGAAAGGGCTGGGATCAAGTGTCTCTGGGAGGTTGAACAACTAGCCTTGAGGTGCATCCAGAACAAACTTAAACTAAATACACTAAAACCGTAGAAATGGCGGTAGACTTTAGGAGAAACTCTCCTGTCTGTCATCTGCACCTCTAGAACTATCTGGTTTGGTTCTGCAACCCAACAGACACAGACTTCAGAGGGTAATTAGAACTGCAGAAAAAACAATTGCTACCCACCTGCCTTCAATTGAGGACCTGTATACTGCACGAGTCAAAAAGAGGGCTGTGAAAATATCTACAGACCCCTCACATCCTGAACATAAATTGTTTCAACTTCTACCCTCAAAATGATGCTATACCCTCAAAATGATGCACACCAGAACAACTGGACACAAGGACAGTTTTTTCCTGAATGCCATCACTCTGCTAAACAAATAATTCCCACAACACTATCAAATTATTTACTAAGACTGTATTACTATTCTCATCCTTCCTAGTACCTATCTCTTCCCACTTATGACTATAACCGTGTTGCTTGTATCTTTACAATTTATATTGTTTTATTTGTTTCCTAGTATGATTTGATTGCTAATCTAACCTAATAGTGTTGTATTTTATGATTCTTGATGAATGTATTTTATTTTTTCTTTATGTACACTGAGAGCGTATGCACCAAAGACAAATTCCTTGTGTGTCCAATCACACTTGGCCAATAAAGAATTCTATAAAACATCAAAATGAGAATGGTTCCTATCTGGGATTTAACAACTTCATTTTATCTCACCTCCAAAAATTGGCCAGCATTATGCTACCCCTGAATGCATTCAGTCCTCTTGCTCTTTTTCTGGAAATTGCTCTCATGTTTAAGAACAGACCCTCCCCCACAAAAATGTTTGGTTCATTTTTGCAGGCTCAGGTTCCTCCCAGACTGCTGATCACTGTCTGTTGGAGGGGATGATGTAGTTTTGGGCTACCTCACCATGCCAAGCCCAGACTGGAAATAAGGAAATGATGATACATATGACATTAAATAAGGAAGAGCAGTCAATAATTAAACTCTGCCAGGTTCCTCCTCTCATTCAAGTCTACTTCTGGATGTGATACAAGATGGGAATTAAATTGGAGAGGAGATGTGGTAGGAAAGATGCAGATTCATTACAGATAAACCGTTCTAGCTGTTCAATTTATCAAACCTAATAAGACGAGCTAAGTTATCTGGAATTTCCTCCAGGGTATATACATGTAACATTGCAGCTAATGACTTAATAATATCTTCATGGTAACGTTCCCACTTTGCATAATCTAGGCTGATCACAGAATCCAATGTATTCTGCTGCCGAAATCAGGTTGTCCTGGAGCCAAAATGTGCAACTGTGTTTCTTTAAAGGACCAAGTCTTGTTTCAGGATCCTTCAGTCTTTCACACCCAGATTCTAGGAGGTGGTGTAATAAGGCCTCCTTGGTGCTCTTCGGGCTTGGTTGTTTTCTTGCAGACATTTCATTACCAAACCAGGTAACATCATAGATGATGTAAATTTAGTTTCTTGGCAAAACTGTAGAACTGGAACATACAAAGGATGCAGCTTTACTAAAGCTACTAAAATCTTGACCGTGTTGCTTTTGTCTCTACTTACAGGATTCCACGTGATTCCAACCATTTCCAACATAGTTCCTGAGAGCTGCTTACTCATTGTCGTAGGACTGCTGGTTGGTGGGCTCATTAAAGCCGTGGGAGAAACCCCTCCAGTCCTAAATTCCAAAGTCTTCTTCCTCTTCCTTCTCCCACCCATCATCCTGGATGCTGGTTACTTCTTGCCCTTGCGCCAGTTCACTGAGAACATGGGCACCATCTTGATTTTTGCAGTGATCGGGACATTATGGAATGCTTTCTTCGTAGGGGCACTGATGTACGCCGTCTGCCAGATAAGTGGCCCTTTTTTATCAGACATTGGCCTCTTGTACAACCTGCTCTTTGGCAGCATCATCTCGGCGGTGGACCCTGTGGCTGTGCTGGCTGTATTTGAGGAGATTCACATCAATGAACTTTTGCACATCTTGGTGTTTGGTGAATCGTTGCTGAATGATGCCGTTACTGTGGTAAGTAGAGTACAGCTTTGGCAGAGGTGGCTTTGTCATGGAATAAAAAAAGTCTTTGTGGATTTAGGGCAGAGGTCTCCAAACTTGGCAACTTGAAGACTTGTGGACTTCAACTCCCAGAATTCTTCCCACAAGTCTTCAAGTTGCCAAGTTTGGAGACCCTTGATTTAGGGCACAAGGCAGCAAAGGAGGAGGAGACAGAAAATGTCTTGTACGCGATTCAACACAATGTCCATACTCCCAAGGAAACACACTGCATGCAGATATCGATGATGTAGGTATTATTAGCTGAGAGATTTCTTGTCTCCACAAGGGATCAGCTGATGCCAAG